AAGATCCTGACCCCAAAATAACCATAACCCATGGAGGGACCTTTATAACCCTGGGGATAAAGATCCTGACCCCAAAATAACCATAACCCCATTTATAACCCCAATGGATGGACATTTCTAACCCTGGGGATAAAGATTTCCAACCCTAAAATAATTATAACCCCAATGAATGAGCATTTTTAACCCCAATGAATGAAGATTTTTAACCACAATGGATGGACATTTATAAAACTGGGGATAAAGATTTCTAACCCTAAAATAATCATAACCCCAATGAATGAACATTTTTAACCCCATGGAGGGACATTTAAAACCCATGGATAAGGATTTCTGACCCTAAAATAATCAGAACCCATGGATGGACATTTATAACCCCAATGGATAAAAATTCTAACCCCTAAAATAATCGTAACCCCAATGAACGAGCATTTTTAACCCCAGTGGGTAATGGTTTTAAACCCCAATGGATAAAGATTTCTAGCCCTAAAATAATCATAACCTCCTTTATAAACCCCATGGATAAAGATTTCTAACCCTATTGGTGGATAATTTTAATCCCATTTATGAACATTTTTTTAGCCCATGGATGAACACTTATAACCTCAATAAAAGAACATTTTAACCCCAAGGATGAACATTTATAACCCTAAAATAATTATAACCCCATGGATGAACATTTCAACCCCACCCCGTGGATGGACATTTTTAACCCCAATAAATGAACATTTTAATCCAAATGGATGGACATTTATAACCCCAATAGATGAACATTTATAACTCGAATAGATGGACATTTTTAACCCCAATGGATGAACATTTATAACCCCAATGGATGAACATTTATAACCCCAATGGATGAACATTTATAACCCCAATGGATGAACATTTATAACCCCAATGGATGGACATTTAAAACCCATGGATAAAGATTCCTGACCCTAAAATAATCACAATCCATGGATGGACATTTATAACCCAAGTGGATAAATATTTTTAACCCTGTGGATAAAGATTCCTAACCCTAAAATAATTATAATCCCACGGATGAACATTTTTAACCCCAATAAATTAACATTTTAACCCAAAAAATGAACATTTTAATCCAAATGGATGGACATTTATAACCCCAATAGATGAACATTTACAACCCCAACAGATGAACATTTTAACCCAAAAAATGAACATTTTAATCCAAATGGACGGACATTTTTAACCCCAATAGATGAACATTTATAACCCGAATAAATGAACATTTATAACCCCAATAGATGAACATTTTAACCCCATGGATGAATATTTTTAACCCCAATAGATGAACAATTTAACCCCAATGGATGGACATTTTTAACCCCAACAAACGAACATTTTAACCCCAATGGACAGACATTTTAGCCCCAATAGATGAACATTTTAACCCAAATAAATGAACATTTTAACCCCAACAAACGAACATTTTAACCCCAATGGATGGACATTTTTAACCCCAATAAATGAACATTTATAACCCCAATGGATGAACATTTTAACCCCAATGGATGCACATTTTAACCCCAACAAATGGACATAATAAATGAACATTTATAACATTTTTAACCCCAACAAACAAACATTTTAACCCCAATGGACAGACATTTTAGCCCCAATAGATGAACATTTTAACCCAAATAAATGAACATTTTAACCCCAACAAACGAACATTTTAACCCCAATGGACGGACATTTTAACCCCAAATGGGTTAAATATTCACCCTGCCTTTGCAAAGCCAGGGCTGGCTGAACAAAACCACTTTCAATGAACCCAAGCAATAAAAACCAACACAAAATCAATGAGAGGCCGCGAAGGAGACGAACTTCCCTCCCTCCCCAAAACCGCCCTCAGCATTTCCTGAGCACAACTCATGCCATGAGTGATTGCTGAGCTGGCCCCGGGCCCGGGCGTTATTTCCACCCTGGATGCAGAAGGACCAAACCTCCCGAGGAGCTCAACGCAGCTCCTGCCTCCAGGCTGACAGAAATTTTACCCTGGGATGCCAAAAATCCATTAAAGAGCTGCCCTGGATGCGCTGGAGGGGAGGCTTCAGCCCTGAGGAATTTCCAGAAGAAATTAAAAAATTCATTAATAATCCATGCTCCTGCTTGATGTGCAGCTGGGGGTTGACAAAGTGTCTCTGTTTATGCGAACGGAATTTCTGTTCCTTGAAAAAAAAAAAATTGTTTATTTCTCAGTGTTGGCCACAGCACAATTATCAGTAAATGTTCTTTTCAGATGGATCATTTTCCCTTGTTGTTGTTGTTCTCCTGGAATCAGTTATTACAGCAAACCCCTGATTTTTAGATTAATGCAGGATTAACCCACCCCAGCCAGCCCGTTCCTGGTTTCCTCTTTTTCCTGGCACAGCATTTGGATGAACATTTAACCCCAAACCAGGCAGTCAGGAGCCATCTGCACATCCACACACGGAATAAATCCCTCCTCTAGGGCAGGCCTTCCCCAGACCTCAATCCTGCTTATTCCATTTTCTCCTGCCTGGATTAACATTTGTGTTTTCCCATTTCCCTGCCAGGGAGAAACCACTTTAATTTTATTTAAACATAACCCAGATGGATCAGAGGGCTGTGGAGGAAAAAATCCCTTTTCCATCCAGATGTGGCCCAGGATGGTCATTCCTGGCCCAGCTGGTTTGGGCAGCCTCAGGAGGGTTTGGGGTGTGTTCAAATCACAAAATCCTGGGATTTGGGTTGGAAGGGACCTTAAAACTCATCCGTGGCAGGGACACCTCCCAGGTGAGGCCTGGACACTTCCTAAAAGTTGGGAAAACCCTAAAATTTGGGGAACTCCCCCATTCTGGTCTTCAGATCTCTGTATATTCCACTGCTGTCTCTTCACCCACCAAACCCCGCCCGTTTTTGCCATCCCATGGGAATTTTTCTTTGTTTTCCGTGGCCTTTCCTCCCGTTGAATTTCAGGATTCCTCGGCACAACTGGAGATGGCAGGAGCGAGCTCTGCTCCTCTGCAGGGACACAGATTTGAAAGGCAAATCCATCCTTTCTCCCAGAGCTCCGGGCTGGTTTGATTTCCTCTCCACCAGCCCTGGGAGCAGCTCTGCTCCGTGGGATAATGGATTTGGAGCTGCTAAAAGCATCCTGGCCTCTCCCAGATTCCCAACCAGGAGATTTCCAACCCACCCCAAACCCTGCTGTATCTTCCATTAAAAAAAATCCAAGCGTTGTGATTTTCCAAGATTCCCAAAACGGCCCCAAACCTCCTCATTCCGTTCGGATTTTCTTCAATAAACCATCAAGATGCTGCAATTTCCCAGGATTTTCCAAGCCTTGATACTCCTTCAGTACAAAATCCAAATGCTGTGATATTCCAGGATTTTCAAATCAGCCTCAAACTGATAATTCCTCAATAAAATCATCCGCATTCTGCAGTTTTCCAAGGTTTTTACATCAGCCTCAAGCCCTGATAATTCTTCAGTAAAACCATCCATGTTATGCAGTTTTCCCAGATTTAAATCAACCTCAAACCCTGATAATTCCTTAGTAAAACCATCCATGCTCTGCAGTTTTCCAAGGTTTTTACACCAGTCTCAAACCCTGATAATTCTTCAGTAAAACCATCCATGCTCTGCCGTTTTCCAAGGTTTTAAGATCAGCCTCAAACCCTGATCATTCTTCAGTAAAACCATCCATGCTCTGCCGTTTTCCAAGGTTTTAAGATCAGCCTCAAACCCTGATCATTCTTCAGTAAAACCATCCATGCTCTGCCGTTTTCCAAGGTTTTAAGATCAGCCTCAAACCCTGATCATTCTTCAGTAAAACCATCCATGCTCTGCCGTTTTCCAAGGTTTTAAGATCAGCCTCAAACCCTGATCATTCCTTAGTAAAACGATCCGTGTTCTGCAGTTTTCCAAGGGTTTTACATCAGCCTCAAGCCCTGATAATTCTTCAATAAAACCATCCGTGTTCTGCAGTTTCCCAAGGTTTTTACACCAGTCTCAGACCCTGATAATTCTTCAGTAAAACCATCCACGTTCTGCAGTTTTCCCAGATTTTATAATCAGCCTCAAACCCTGATAAATCTTCAGTAAAACCATCCATATTCTGCAGGTTTCCAAGGATTTTACATCAGCCTCAAGCCCTGATAATTCTTCAGTAAAACCATCCATATTCTGCAGGTTTCCAAGGATTTTACATCAGCCTCAAGCCCTGATATTTCCTCAGTATAAAATCCAACTGCTGCAATATTCCAAGATCATCTCACCAGCCTCAAGCCCTGATAATTCTTCAATAAAACCATCCACGTTCTACAGTTTTCCCAGATTTTAAATCAGCCTCAAACCCTGATAATTCTTCAATAAAACCATCCACGTTCTACAGTTTTCCCAGATTTTAAATCAACCTCAAACCCTGATAATTCTTCAGTAAAACCATCCGTGCTCTGCAGTTTTCCCAGATTTTATAATTGGTCTCAAACCCTGATAATTCTTCAATAAAATCATCCATGTTCCACAGTTTTCCAAGATTTTACACCAGCCTCAAATTCTGATAATTCCTCAATAAAACCATCCGTGTTCTGCAGTTTCCCAAGGATTTTACATCAGCCTCAAGCCCTGATATTTCCTCAGTATAAAATCCAACTGCTGCAATATTCCAAGATCATCTCACCAGCCTCAAACCCTGATAATTCTTCAGTAAAACCATCCGTGTTCTGCAGTTTTCCAAGGTTTTAAGATCAGACTCAAACCCTGATCTTTCCTCAGTATAAAATCCAACTGCTGCAATATTCCATGATTATATCACCAGCCTCAAACCCTGACAATTCCCCAATAAAACCACAAACCCCTCGGTTTCCCAGGCTCTCTCTGCTCCGCTCCCCGCGCCCGGGGGATGCTTTGGGGTGAAGCTTCGGGGTGAAGCCGCGGATTTCGGGGAGCCGTCCGCGGCTTTCCCGGGGGAAAGGGATGGATGAGGGATGACGGCCGATGGATGACGATGATGATGGGCTCAGCGGGGCCGGGCTGCTCGGGAGCAGCTCCTCCCTCTCGCTATTTATTGCTGCGCGGAGCTCCGCGGCTGAATCACCTCGGAGCGAGCGGGCAGCGCTTTTCCAGCCGGTGAGTGCCGGGGAAAAACGGGACACGGGGGCTGCGGGAGGGATAAACCGGGAGGCGAGGGGGGTTGGAACGCCGGGGGTGCGGGGCTGCCTCTTTTCCTGACCAAAAATTGACATTTCCAGCGGCTCCTTAAAAGCCAGCGCCCTGCTCCTGCCCGGTTCTTGTTTACTCAGCGTTTACTCAACATCGGGAATTTCTTCTCCGAGGGTTCTGCCTCTTCCCCCGACCGCCAGCCGCTCCCCCATTGTTTGGGGAAATGAAAGACAAAGGGGCCTGGGGGAGATTTCTAAACCCAGGGGTGACATTTTCAGGGAAATTCCGATTTATTTTCCAATTCCCTGAGCCCCAGGCCGGAATTTTCAGCCCAGGAGGGTCCGGACTCCCCCATCCCCGAGCATCTTCTCACCTCCACCTTCCCCACCTCCCTTCTCTCCCTCTCCGCCTCCCCGGGGACCTCCCCGAGGTTATTTCCAGTGATATTTTGGCACTTGGGTGTTGGTTTTTCCCCTCCGAGCGAAACCTCCTCCTTGCCAAGGCTGAGCACGTAATTGCTGCTCTCAGCCTCCATTTTCCGCTGGGGGAGCGCAGGGTTCCTCCAGCACGGATAAAAACCAGCTCCGCCACAAACCACCTGAATTAATTCCTCATTTCCAGCATCCGCCGGCTGCGCGAATCTAGGGGAGGAAGGTTAAAAAAAAAAAATTTAAAAAATCCCTGTGAAGTCACTCGATCTGTCATTTAATATTAATGTCATGGTCAGTAAACAGCATCTCGAGAAATCTGGGATTTTTTTGCGGGAGAAAAGCCCGGATTCCCGGGAAGCAGCTCCTTCAGGGCTTCGCCCAGGCAACTCATTAGTTTGGGGCGAAGCTCCTGGCTCGCTAATTAGCGCCCGTATCCTGTTTATCAGAGCTCTAAAGGCAATTAAGGAGCAGCTCAGCGCTGCTATACCCCAAGATCCCCGAACCAGCCTCAAACCCCGCGATTTCCTCAATAAAACCACGGCAGTGCTTTGCCAGAACCCCTCTCCAACCAGGTTTTTTAATTTTTAATTCAACCAAGGCCTGATTTTTAACCCCTTGGAGCTCACAAGGGGGGAGCGATACCTCCAAAAATATATTTAAAAAATGCCCAACGGCTGGATTTTCCTCCCCCATGGCTCTTTTTGCCGAGCACCCAAGGAGCCGGTTGTTTTTCCCAGCTTTTGGCTATTTTTAACCCCCCTGATCTCATCCCTGCCCCCAGAGGGAGGCAGCGAACCCGAACTTGCTCCTTGAGCCCGGATTTTTCCAAGAAGGAGCAAATCCCAAACCTGGAATTCCTCCCCATCACCAGGGTTCATCCCCCCCGAGGTTTTATTTAGGGCCTTGCAAACGATCCCACCCAAACCACTGAGCTTGCAGGGCCTTTAATTTAAATATTTCTGGATATAAACCCAGATTTCTGCCGGGGAAGGGGAGAAAAAGCATCACTAAGAACCCAAAGAGATGAATTTGATTTTTGTGGCCCACAAATCCGTGTCTAGGTGGCAACAGAAGAATTTCTGGCTTCAGCAGGGGCTCCTTTGGCCTTTTTGGCTGTAGGAAAGTTCAGAATCTCCTGCCTGCATTATGATTATTCTTGGGGTAACTCCATAATCGCTGCAAAAAAAATAAATTTAAGACCCAAACCAAATTATTTCTTGCTGTACTGCGAGCAGGAAGGCGTATCCAGGGATGCTGAAAAGCCCACCCACCCTGGGAACGTGATTTTGGGGGGCAGCTCAGCCTCGGGCAGGATGGAAAATCCCTTTTTTAAACCAGGATTTAAACATTAAACCCAGGCCAGCAGCCACTCAGTGCCCCTGGCGTTGCCAGGAGGCGTTAAAGGGGTTTGGCAGCTTGGCCTTTTTTGGGTTTTTGGTCTTTGAGGTGTTTTCCAAAGGATTTGCAGCCCCGGTGGGGATTGTCCCTGGGGATTGTCCCTTGTCCCTGCTGGATTATGCACAGAGGGGTGAAAATGGCATTTATCCCCCCTGGAAATGGGATTTATCCCTCAGGGAAATGGGATTTTTTTCCCCTGGAAATGGGATTTGTCCCCCACAGAAATGGGGTTTATCTCACCTGGAAATGGGATTTATCCCCCACAGAAATGGGGTTTATCCCCCCGGAAATGGGATTTATCCCCCACAGAAATGGGGTTTATTCCCCCTAGAAATGGGATTTATCCCCCCTGGAAATGGGGTTTAGCCCCCACAGAAATGGGGTTTATCACTCAGGGAAATGGGGTTTATCCCCCTGGAAATGGGATTTATCCCCCCTGGAAATGGGATTTATCCCCCCTGGAAATGGGATTTATCCCCCAGGGAAATGGGATTTGTCCCCCCTGGGAATGGGGTTTATCCCCCACAGAAATGGGATTTATCCCCCCTGGAAATGGGGTTTAACCCCCCCCGGAAATGGGATTTATCCCCCAGGGAAATGGGGTTTATCCCCCTGGAAATGGGATTTATCGCCCCTGGAAATGGGATTTATCGCCCCTGGAAATGGGATTTATCGCCCCTGGAAATGGGATTTATCGCCCCTGGAAATGGGATTTATCGCCCCTGGAAATGGGATTTATCGCCCCTGGAAATGGGATTTATCGCCCCTGGAAATGGGATTTATCGCCCCTGGAAATGGGATTTATCCCCCCTGGAAATGGGGTTTAGCCCCCACAGAAATGGGGTTTATCCCTCAGGGAAATGGGGTTTATCCCCCCTGGGAATGGGATTTGTCCCCGGGCAGTGTGGGAGGTGCCCAAACAGCAAACTGGCATTCACCGAGTCACCGCATGCTGGCAAAGTCTGAATCCCAAAAATGCCCATTAATGAAGAGGAATTTGGGTAAAACACGCAGAATTTGGGAATAGAACCCCCCCGTCCCGGGGCCAGGCTGGGCGTTGCCCTCCCTGCAGCACCGAGAGCCCAAAAGCTTCGGGGTTGGGCTGGGTCCGTCCTTGGCATCGATGGTGGCACAGCAGGAATCTCGTCCTGCCCCAGGTTGGGTAGGGCGGGTTTGATAAGCGGGGCTTTATCTCAAAATCACGTGAAACATTTTCTCCCCAGAAGATTTTCTTTCCTCACTTAAAGCTGCCATTGCCAGCAGGGGTCCTGTTGGGTGATATATTAAAAAAAAAAAACAACAACAAAAAACCCCAACCCAAAACAACAACAACAAAAATAGATAAAATATATAAATATTTCTACACACACATGTAAATGTAAATGCATACCTACATTTCTATACATATATTAAAAATAAATACATTAGATACATATATTTATATCCATATACTAAAATATAAATTAATGTATATACATATATAAATACCTATACTAATATATTAAAAATACATAGATATATGCATATATAAAATATATATGCATCTATAAAATATATATAAAATATATGCATATATACCTGTATATGCATATATATAAATATATAAAAATAGATAAAAATAAGCATATATACAATAATAATAATACATGCAAATACAATAATAAATAAAAAATATATAAATACAATAATGACTAAATTTTATATATATGTACATATACATATAATTTTAATATATGTATATTACATATAATTTTAATATATGTATATATTACATATATTACATATATTAAAATTATAATATTACATTACATACATATATTACATATATAATACATATATTACAAATATTTTATATTAATGTAGAAATAAAGGGTTTGGGGTGGGGATAAACACACCTCTGATCCAAAGCTGTTCATTCCGCAGGCGGATTTGAGGGGGCCGGCCGTGTTTTTCGGTGAGGGAGGGGCGTGTGGCCCTGCCCTGACGCTGTCCTTGTCCCCGCAGCCATGGCCCGGCTCCTCGGCACCTCCTGCCTGCTGCTGCTGCTCCTCCTCGGCGTCTGCACCGAGCTGGCCTCCTCCAAGAAGGGCAAAGGCAAACCCGGCTGGGGCACGGGGAGCCGCCAGCCCAGCTACCCCCGCCAGCCCGGCTACCCCCAAAACCCCGGCTACCCCCACAACCCCGGCTACCCCCACAACCCCGGCTACCCCCACAACCCCGGCTACCCGGGCTGGGGCCAGGGCTACAACCCGTCCAGCGGAGGGACTTACCACCAAAAACCGTGGAAGGCGCCTAAACCCAAGACCAACTTCAAGCACGTGGCGGGCGCGGCGGCGGCGGGCGCCGTGGTGGGGGGCTTGGGGGGCTACGCCATGGGCAGGGTGATGTCGGGGATGCACTACAGCTTCGACAGCCCCGACGAGTACCGCTGGTGGAACCAGAACGCCGCGCGCTACCCCAACCAGGTCTACTACCGCGACTACCGCGACCAGCGCGGCCCGGTGCCGCAGGACGTCTTCGTGGCCGACTGCTTCAACATCACCGTCACCGAGCACAACATCGGCCCCGCCGCCAGGAAGAACGCCTCGGAGGCCGGCGCGGCCCTCAACCAGACGGAGGCCGAGCTGGAGACGCGCGTGGTGACCAAGGTGATCCGCGAGATGTGCATCCAGCAGTACCAGGAGTACCGGCTGGCCTCGGGCGTGCGGCGGCGCCTGGCCGACGCCTCGCTGCCCGCCCTGCTGCTCCTCGTCCTCTTCGCCCTGCACTAAGAGCGCCCCGCGCCTTCCTGGTGTCACCCGTGTCCCCCCGCGGGGTCCCCCCGCTCTCGGTTGGTTTTGGTGAGGAAGCCCCCTGGGCGCTCGCCGGCGCCTCCGGTTTAGGCGACGGGATGAAAATTTTGCTTTTCTGCCCCAAACGCGGAGAGCCCAGAGCCGCGGCCTTCGCCTCCTCCTCCTCCTCGGGGCCATCCCCGAGAGGGACCGGGCAGAGGGGGAGCTCTCCTTGGCAGGAGCTTTTCCAAAAATCCTCTTGGTTAACGGGCAGGGTTTTATCTCAGCCCCCGGGGGTCTCAGAGGGGGTTTTTCAAGCTGCCAGGTTGCAATTTGAACCGTTCCATCCTAAAAAAAAAAAAAGCCCCTTCCCCTTGTACATAAGGAGCTGCCACTCCGCACCCTGCATGCTGCAAAACCCCCCTGCAGCAACACACCAAAATAAAGTCGTTTTTTACTCCCTGCCACAGCCAGGCTGAGGCACCAGTCGGTCTTTAGAGGCAGAAAGTGCTGCTGAATGCCCTAAACACCCCCAAAAATGGTGTTACAGCCCGGGAAAAAGCTAGTTTGGACGCTCCAGGTGACGAGTCGTGTTCGTGCTTCAGCACCTGGGCCTAAAGGACGTTCAAATGCAGCACAAAGGATTTCTCAGGGGGGGTCGGGCACGTAGCAAGAGACTGAAACCAGCTAAAGCACGCCGGTACAGCAAACAGCATCGGGAAAAACGGGCCTGGGAAGGGAGATGCTTTCCAAAAAAAGTCACATTTGTGAGTAATTCCTTTGCCCTGTGGAAGCAACGGGTGAAATTCTTGCTTCTCGTGTGGATGCTGGGCTGGGGACGAGCTGTAACACCCGCGGCGCTGCGTTTAATATCTCTCGTGTATTTTATTTTTGCAAGGCACTGAATAACACTGTCCTAAATGAGATTTTTTTGTTGTTGTTGTTCCCCTTTTTGCATCGGTGTAAGCTAAGTGAAGATATATATTATATATATAAATATAAATAGCTATAAAGAGAGAGCAAAGAAGCCTTTCAGGACAGCCACCGGAGAAGCAGGGCTTTGAGGTGCCCCGTCCTTTCGCGGATGTTTTGTAACCCTGTCACGCTGCATGCCCGCCCGGGATTTGCCGTGCTGAGCCTTTTCTAAGTGTTCCACGTCTGGTACAAATTAAAACGGATCAAGCCAAGGTGCCCGGCAGCCTCCTTTGTGTGCCAGCCCCCGCGGCATTTCCCGCATTTCTGCATTTCCCGAATTTCTGCATTTCCCGAATTTTCTGCATTTCCGCCCTCCCCCGTCCCCTCTCCCCGGCCTGAAGGAGATTTTGTTCCCTTCCAGCACCAAATCTGGCCCAATCCCCACAGCCCCAGTTTTCTCCCCCTCTGCTCCCACCGATGGCACCGCTGCAGTCTGAGAGGAGTTTTCTAATTTCTGTCTAATTCCAGTTTCTGTTCTAATAAAGGAGTTTTTACATTTGCTGTTTCGGTGGCGTTAAGCCCGACCCAAGCCCTGCTTCATCCTGGGATCCTGGACGCTTTCTTATGGAATCCTGGAGTGGTTTGGGTTGGGAGGGACCTTAAATCCCCCCCATCCCACCCCTGCCAGGGCAGGGACGGCTCCCCCTGTCCCGGGGGGCTCCAGCCTGGCCTTGGGCACTGCCAGGGATGGAGCAGCCTCAGCTCCTCTGGGAATTCCATCCCAGCCCCTCCCCGTTCTCATTCCATCCCAAAATCCCATCAGATCTCCCCTCCCCCAGTGGGACCCATTCCCTGTGTCCTGTCCTTCCATCCCTTATCCCAAATCCTTTTCCAGCTCTCCTGGAGCCCCTGCAGGCCCTGGAATGTGCTGGAAGCTCTCCCTGGATCCTTCCCTTCTCCAGGGGAACATTCCCAGCTCTCTCTGGAATTTCCCTTCTCCAGGTGAACATTCCCAGCTCTTTCTGGAATTTCCCTTCTCCAGGGGAACATTCCCAGCTCTCCCTGGAATTCCCTTCTCCGGGGAACATTCCCAGCTCTCCCTGGAATTTCTCTTCTCCAGGTGAACATTCCCAGCTCTTTCTGGAATTTCCCTTCTCCAGGGGAACATTCCCAGCTCTCCCTGAAATTCCCTTCTCCAGGGGAACATTCCCAGCTCTCTCTGGATCCTTCCTTTCTCCGGGGACCATTCCCAGCTCTCCCAGCCCGGCTCCAGGTGGGCTCCCGGCGCTGCAGGTGGGGTCTCACCTGAGCGGGGCCGAGGGCAGAGCCCCCCGAGCTGCCCAGGCTCGGTGCCAATCGCTCTCCAAGGGATTTATTTCCATTTATTTGCATTTCACAACAGCAGGACCCCTCCTCCTCCAGCCCCGGGTCACACCAGCTGCAGCCCCGTGGGAGGAGGAGAAATTCCCCCAAAAGCAGGAAGGAAAAACTTCACTTCATCCAAAGGAAGGGGAAAAAATGAATTCTTTTTAAGCCCCCCACGTTTCCCGAGATGAACTCATGGATATTTCCAGGAAGAGGCACCCAGCACTTGCACCGTGAACTCCCCTGGGGAGGGTTTGACTACAAATTTCTCATTTTTAACCCCAAAAACCTTCAACTCCCTCCCTCCCAGTCATGGGAAACACATTGGCAATGCTCAGAGGAGCTCAAAAATAACATTTTCCTCTCCCTGCACACGCAGCACCCCGGTTTTTTTAACCCTCCACGGGGATTTTTGGAGCTCAGCAGGGAAGGTCAGAACTTTCCTGGCTCTGGGAACACCCAAGCGAGGCGACACTCTGAACTTTTGTGTCCTTTAGGGACGGCTGGATCAAATTACCCCTCTGCAGAGATCTGCTGAAGCAGAGAAATTAATTAATTAATGAGCTAAACACTCCAAATCCTGCAGCGTGCACAGGAGCCACGCACGGAGGAGGTTCTGATTTACCAGGGTGGTAATAAATACACCCCAAAAATGTAAATACCCCCCAAAGTGTAAATACCCCCCCAAAAGTAAATAACCCCCCAAAATGTGAATACCCCCAAAATGTGAATACCCCCCAAAATGTAAATACACCCCAAAATGTAAATAACCCCCAAAATGTAAATACCCCCCAAAGTGTAAATACCCCCCCAAAAGTAAATACCCCCCAAAGTGTAAATATCCCCCAAAAGTAAATACCCCCCCAAAATGTAAATAACACCCAAAGTGTAAATATCCCCCCAAAATGTAAATACCCCCTCAAAAGTAAATAACCCTCCAAAATGTAAATACCCCCCAAAATGTAAATACACCCCAAAATGTAAATACCTGCCCAAAATGTAAATACCCCCCAAAATGTAAATACCCCCCAAAGTGTAAATATCCCCCAAAAGTCAATACCCCCCCAAAATGTAAATAACACCCAAAGTGTAAATATCCCCCCAAAATGTAAATACCCCCTCAAAAGTAAATAACCCTCCAAAATGTAAATACCCCCCAAAATGTAAATACACCCCAAAATGTAAATACCTGCCCAAAATGTAAATACCCCCC